GAACTGCCGGACCTTATAAGTAATATAGAAAATATATTTAGAATAGGTAGGGGCGAAAAGTATAGAATTCGAAATAAATAAGACGGAATTAATATATTTTATATAAATAAAAGTACTAAGGACAGAAACTTTCTAATTCAAAAACATAGTACTTTAACTAATAGAATTTATAAAATTCCTAAAGGTTTAACTAAATTATAAATTCAATTACTAAATTTACATAAGAGTAATAAAGTTAAAAATAAAAATTTAAACAAACGTACTTATAAAGTTAGCCGCGAAAATATAAGGTTACTCCTTTATTTAAATAAAGGAAATATATATTAAATATATTTATAACGCTATTATATATAGAGCTTTAATATTCTACTAACTAACCGAAATCTATAGGAAACTACAAAAGATTATAATTAAATTAGCGAAATACTAAATTAAATATTTAAAAATTATTACTAGGGCGTATAAAATTATATTAGTACAAAACCTAAAAATAGAAACTTTTTATCTACCGTTCGACTTCTATTTTAATAAAAGGGTCTAAACCTTTAAAGAGAAATTTACCCGGACGGACTAAATAAAGTTCGTTCGGAAGATTATAATTTAAATTACTAATTATATTTAAATACAAAAGGCTAAAAGTCAGCTACCCGCCAATAAATTAGAGAATAATATAATTAAGGTTTAATAGGCTAAAATATAAGTACTAATAAAAAAATTACTAATAATTATAATTAATCCCCCTTCGGAATTAGAGACCCTATTACCGCTATTATAAGTCCTAGAATTAATAAGTACTAATTAAAAAGAATAATTAAAGGATATAATAAATTAAAAATAGGTATTATACTATAATTATTACCTAGTAGTAATAATAATTAAATTAAATTAATAATATAAATTTACTATTATTAACCTTAACCCTAAATTCAATAGCAAAGCTATTTAATATTATATAATTAATATAAAGTAAGAAAGAAGAAAATATTGAATATTAAAGAAAAATAAAGACGAACTATACCTACTAACTAAAACGAAGAATTCCCTTCTAATCTAAATTAAGACAGAGGTTATTAAACTCTACGCCTTCCTCTTTCAAAAGAAAGTACCAAATATTTAAATACTTATTTATACCTATAAATTCGAAAAAAAGACCTTTACCTATATTGTTTTAAATTACTTTAATATAGAAATTTTCTTTTAATCGGACCCTAATAATTAGCCGCTAACGAGGGAGGAACTTTAAAAGTATTTAAATAATAAAATTAAAGCTAAAAAAATTCTATTATAAGTATTAAAATTAAATAAATTAAAGGAATATTATTTAATAATTAAATTAGAAGAGGAATAGCGTAAGGAAATTATAAAGTATTTTTAAAAAGGGAATAAATTATTAACAATACTAGAATAATAAAATAAAGGATAAGGAGGAAACGATTATACTAACTACGAATACTATTTAAACTATAATTATAGTAAAAACCGAAATACTATTTAACGAACGCTTAATTGCATTTAAAAAAATCTTTAAATAATATTATTATACAAGCTTAATTTATAATAATTTTATAATGCTATTAGACCTAATTCTCATTTATAATAGGGCGGCTAAAGGTATCGAAAGTTATAAAATTATTTAAAGGAATATTATTACTATTAAAATTAAAGACTATACGAATAAGAGTAGTAGTACTACTACTACTAGATATAATATATATAAAAATAATTATACTATCGTTAAAATTAGAAGTAATTTAAATTAGGTTTATAGTATTATTACTAAGAAGGGAGGGGGTATAACTATAGTAAACGTCCCTTATAATTAATTTATAATAGCCCTTTTATTAAAAGTTAGTAATATTATAATATAAAGTGTAGGGAAAATTATTAAAGTAATTAAATAGACTATCTTATATTAAATGCTTATATATATACTTAATAAAATAATTAGTAATATAAATAAAGGAATCTAATTTTTAATTATATTCGGCCGGGCTATTTAATATTATAATAATAATTACTAACTAAATAGTATTACGGGTATTATAGAAACTAGTAGAAATATTTAATATATATTTATTAATAGTAAAAATATAAATTGTATTTTAAAAGTAGGTAATTAGGGGCGGAAGTTAATTAATATTGAAGGATAAAAAAAAAAAGAATAAAAAGCCTATTAATAACTAAAATAAAATAAGTCTTACCGGCGACTATTTTACGGAAATTATCGGAAGAAGCAAACCTCTAACTAATTTTTAGAAATATAATAAAATTTAAAGTATAATAGAAGTAAGGGATTTTATAAACAATACTAAATAGGTTAATATATAAATTAAGAATAATAGAAGAAATAATTATATTAATTTTAAAGCGCTATAAGGTCCGAATTATTATAAAAAGAGTAAAAAAACGCTATAGGCTCTAAGTAAATTAGAGCTACGAAACTTAGAAAAGACGTAGGGCCTAAGGATAAATCGGAGGAAGAGACTTCCGGGTCGGAAGTTAAATCGATTAGGTTAAGGCAGTAGCAACCGGAGGAAACTATTTTAGGCAGTAATATAATAAGGAAAAAGGAAGAAGAAAATTAGGAAGGGGTATTATAGGGAAGATTATATAAACGGAGGAAAGAGTCTTTATATTATTATAAATAGAAGTAGAATTAAGAGGTAGGAAGTAAAAGGATAGGGCGGAAGTAACTATAAATAGGGTAAAAAAGTAGAAAAGTAGGGAAGTAATAGAAAAATAAAATAGGGAAGTAGGAGGAAGGTAGAAGAAAGAATAGTAAAGGTTGAAACGGAGAAGCGGCGAAGAAAGGTAGTATTTTAAGTCCTATTCCTATTATCCTTATTATTCTAATATTAGAATAATATAACAGAGGGAAAGACGAAATTAGTTCGCTATAGCGGTAAGTAAGAACCGTTATAGCTATAAGTAAAATAGGAACAGTATAGAAATTTACGGCCAAAATAAAGCTGGGGGTTTTTATTTAGCGGCGTTTAACGCCGCACGGTTTTCCCCTCTAGAGAACTAGAGAAGGACCCTATACCAATAAGGCACTATAGTTATATAGTATAGGGAATAAGACTATTATTATTATTACTGAGTACAAGTTTCACCCGCATAACTTCTTTGCTCAGCTGAAGAATACAACCTACGCAATACTCCATTAAACTATAAAATCGTTTAACTAACTAACGGTCTGGAGGGATATTACCATAGCTGCTAAAGTGTGATAGATGTTAATGGAGCGCGCAATACGCAGTAGGTAGTAGTCTCTTATAATAGACGTTCAACCTTAGTCAGCCCCTATCCACTTCCCCGCCACCCCGTGGCGCAGTCGTTTTAGACCCACAGGGCCAAATGGTGTAATGTCCGGATTGGTGGGTGGGTGAGGGTGGTGGGGCCCGGATGTTACAACCATCTAGCCCTGTGGGTTTGAAGAGACGCATAGGCCATCGGAGGTGGCTGAGCGACTGAGACTAGTAGGTAGGCCGATCTGTTAGCGGCTTACGAAGCTAACCTCCATAGTCCACTTGTTCGCGGCTGGCTCGCTCCGCCCCGGGGCCTCCAAAAAGCCGCAGATACCACCCGGTCATGCAAGGCCAGAGATCCTATTTTCAAGTGTATTGTTCCTGATCGATTCTGTTGACTGTGCTCGGATCATTTCAAGACATCAGAGCCTCCAGGCTCGAGTCTCAATTTCTTTGTGTCTCCAAGCACTACAGTACCTATTACCTACTACCAGCTACGCTACCTCCCGTCTGCCTATGTATAGAGTTGCCTAATTCAGAGACGCCGGGTTGTTCCACGGCCCCCGCCATCTACAGCCCTAAAACGAGACGGGATAGAGGAGCTTCAAGACTGGCGGCGATCAAAGGGTTTCAGAAAGCAACTCGAAGCCTCTCACCCCACTCATGGGTGTCACCCAAATGCCAATCTTTTGGCTCTGGCGCTCTGAGCCGGCACTGAGTGGCCTCCAGACAATCGCTAATGCTGTGATCGGCTCAAACTTTTCATAGAAAAGTTGTGAGGGTGTTCAAGGATATTCTGCACTAGCAGGGCTGTGCCTAATCCTTTACCAAAAGCGCTTTCCTTCTTTGAGCGGGCACGTCCCCGGGCTTACCGTTCTTAGCGATAGCGCCTTAGCTAGCCTTCTTTCCAGCTTTTCTAACTTTTTTATTCAAGTACCTTTTTTGCGAGCTCGGGCCACTTTGGCCAAGCTTTAGAATCCTCGAATTTAATTGGTTCTTCCACAACTTTTTTACTCAAAACTTACTGAATCTCAGAAGTAGGTCCCCCCCTACTTCTGGCAGAAAAGTTGTAGAAAGTTTGCGAGTTTGAAGTACAACTTCTCCCCCCCTGCCACTCCCCCTGTCACCCAAGTACCAAAATCTCACAACTTTTCATTGAAAAGTTTGAGCCGATCACAGCATAAAGTGGAAATTGAGGCCAGCCAGCTCAGTCGGGATCCTCATGCCCGCCGTCCGGCTGATTGCCACCATGCCGTTGCCGCCGCTAGCTCCTTCTGGCGCTGGCGTTTCTAGCGAACATTGGCGCCATTCAGGCCGGCCGGGCCAGCCCCCAACCACAAACTGCAGGTGCAACCATCCAGCGTGCGACCAGAGCCATCCCATCAGCCATCGGTTGACTCGTCGTTTCCGGGGCCGTCATGTTTATCCCATTTCGTGGTTTTACTCACCTTTCTTTCCTTCTTTTCTCTTTACAATCTCCCGTCTCTTCGCCGTGTTCGATACTGTATCTCCAGCCCGGTGATCCTTTTATTACTTATCGTGTACATAATTTACCTCCTCACTACAACAACAATACACAATACTCTTCAAAAAAAATAAAAATGAACCAGCATTATCATCTCTAAAAGTTAATCAATGTCCAACACCTTCGTCCTTTCTTTCCAGTGACTCTTTTCTCCCCGTTATCCCAACATCCTCTCGGCTCGGCTGCCGTAATTATATTCCAGTCCTACATAGAGTGCCGTCCGTACGATGGCAACCGTCACCGTCGACGAGGGCAGACGCTCCTCTATCGAGAAACCCACTCTTACGACACCCGGTCACCTTCACTCTTCGGGCCCGACAGCATTTGAACGATTACCAGACGAAATCATTCAGCAGTGCGTCCTCATTCACTAGCTCTGTTAGGCGCAGCCATTTCTCTTTCTGTTTCCCGTGCATCGCATTTGCGTTCCTAACCACAGATAGTATCGTAGGATCCTTCAAGCTGTCGATGCCAATGGCTTCGCTTCGCTGGTGCTGCTCAACGCAAAATGGAGAAGCGTCGCTCAGCAGGCCCACCTATACGCCTACCACTTATCCAACTGTCCATCCTACGCCTTGAGCCATCACAATGCCTCGCCTCCAACCGTTAGCGATGATGATCTCCCCAGACTTCGAAAACTGTTCGCAAAGGAGGTCAAACGGAATTTGTTCGAGGCGTACTTGCGTCCAAGGAAGACCATCATCAGGCTCATATCGAACTCGATCAGCTCTTCATCCGCGCCAGGCGGAGATGGCATCCAGTTCAGCCCGTCGCCAAAGGGCCACCACCTGCTAGCCTTCAACTCCTCCCGGATACATGTTATTGATGTTAGGCAACGAGACATTGCCGTTACCAGAGAGTTCAAGATTTTGCGCCGTCCTGCCGCCACATGTATCAACGATGAGGGAACTGTGCTAGCAGTTCTGTTGACCGAGATGCAAATCGACATCTACGATCTCAAGTCAACACCTCCAAGACGAACCCAGTCACTGATTTTGGACAACAGCCCTCGTGCGATTGCCCTTTCACCATGCGGCGGAGTTCTGGCAGCGGCTTACGAGGGTGGCATTGAGGTCTCTTCACTGAATCCCAACGCAACATCAACCGAAAGAAGAGCCGTCAAATGTGAGGCGGTCGATTCATTGACCTTTTCGTTCGACGGGACACAGATTCTGGGTACTACGGTTCATGCGCCACAGCCCAACACCGTAATTCTGACCGCGCCCTACTACGACCCGGTTAGTTGTGCGGTGGAGGACGATATTAGTGTGTTATGGACTACCTCAATCCTCTTCCCCAACACGAGTCGCGATTGCAGCCACGCTGTATTGATCCAGAATGGAAAACACGAGGAGGCGGGATGGACGTTCACGTACGACCGCAGTTACGAGATCTTCAGGGCTGTGCGCATCGATGATCTACGAAACGGCACAACATACTTCACCGGGCCAATACCGAACCCTACCTCGCAACCGAAACTGGTACCATGTACTCTACCCGCAGCCTCTTACCATGGCGAGCTCGTATCGGCTGGCTTTCAAGGTAAGGACGTTTGGATCTACGGCATTCCCGAGGACCTGGATGCAACACCCGAAACGTCCAGCACGGGCAATGAAGGTACCTCGAACCCAAGTGCTCTGAACCGCCGCAACAGTCAACCGCCACCTCGAAATGGCTCACGCACGCAGGAGAATGATCCATCCAGAGTCCCCCAATGGCAAGCGTTCGACAAGTTGCGCAACAAACTTATCGCCGGACGCAAAATCGGCCATCTAGAAGGGGTGCATATGGTGAAGTGGGTTGGAGACTTTGAGGATTCGTCGGTGAAGGAACGTATGATTATCGGTGCTCGAGGAATAACACCCACCAAGCCCATCACGGAGGATGATGGATTTGACTTTGTGGACGGTGGTCGGATCACAGTGATCGACTTCGATTACAGTCTAGAGAACGGCTCTCCTGTCGAGGTTGTTATCGATGTGGGATCCAAAGAGCCTGAGGTACTAGAGGAGGAACACCGAGATATCGAAGCTGAAGTCGCTATTGTACGACGGAGAACGGTTATGCAAAATAGAGGGAATCGTGGCGGTTTGATGCGAGCTGCTACCAGCGCAGGAGCTGTTCCTCTTGTCCCAGCCCTTCCTTCTGCTTCGTCACTTGCCAGCCAGCCTTCGGCGTCATTGCAGGAGGATGATGACCCTCTCGTACCTCGTCGTGTTGGAGCACTTCCTATTCCCCGAATTGAAGCACCTTTGATAACCGAGGATACCGAGGAATTCGCGTCAATCGAAGAGCAAGAGGCCTTGGAGTCACCATACGCCCATGCCAGCCCCCGATCGGCTCCTACTCTCAGGCGTGCTGCCACTGCTGCTGCTGCCAATCGTCGCTTACACCCGCAAGCTGCTGCTAGTGGCCCTGTTCAGTATCGTCGTGCTGATGGCCGAGCCGAACATCCTCATGAAAGCGACGCGGACAACTGGGTTCCTCCCCCACCTCCATACCAAAAGGAGGATCCTGGCGACTTGCCTGCTTTCCTACGCCATGCTATTCCGCCTGTTATCCCCGCCACCATGTCCTCGGCTCAAACAGACGATTACCTGGATCAAATGCGCAGGCCAAAATCGATGTTGGAGGTACCTCAAAGTCACACAGCGATACAAGTCCCACAGACAGGATCCTCTATCCCGCCTGTACCGTCCCTCTCTACCATTCCACCAGTTCCTTCACTACCACAGCAATTGTCGTCGTCTTTGATACAGTATCATAGTGGCGGCAGTCTCACGCATTTGCCACACCTGATCCCGTACCAAGAACCACAAAGGCCATCTTCCAGCGGCTCCCGATATGTGGGAGATGAGAACATTTACGACGTCTCTCCGCCTGATTCACCCAAGATGTCAGGGGTAAACCTATCTACTGGCGGAATTCAGGCGCGTAGCGTGAGCGATAGTGGAATAGTGAGCTCTCTTCAGGTGAACTTAGCGGCCTCAACCTCGGCGTCATCTTCGCAACAGTCACACCTACCATTATCTCTCTTGCAGACAGACATTGCACCTCCACAGCAGTCAGGGTTGCCATTTGCTCTATACCCCCACAACCCGTCACCACATATCGGTACTATCATGCCAACAGAGAGTGCAAGCAGTCCGGTAGTTAGGCGGCTTTCCAACGCTGGGACATGGCCCTTGGTATCCAATCAGCCAAAAGCCCCAGTGACAGCACCAACTGACTTCCCACACTCGGCGCTTCCTGTAGAAAGGGGCGAATACTATCTGCCAGCCCCTAGCCAGGATCAGTTGAGGCGTCTGAACAGCCGCTCGGGAGCTCCCCGGCGTCTTTCGGAGGGCTTCCACCCTCCACCCGACTTTCTCGGTGACGACTTCAACAACCGCTCTGCCTATTCCCAGCCTGCATCCCGCCGACCTTCAGCAGTCGAAGACGTGCCCCTAATAGTCAGTACACCACAGGGTGTCTCAGGTGCCTTCGACCCGCCCGGTCGACACGCGTCCGGTCGTCGGGGCGACCCTCCCCTTCTGGCTCCCGTTCCACGCCATCCGCGCCCGCAGACGCAATCAGCCGTCATCGGAAACCGTCCAACCGTTGAGCGGCTTGAAACCATCTACAGCGTTGCGAGCAACGGTGCCAACTCGAACGCTGCTGGCGGCCCCGGTCTCGACATCCCTACGGCAACTAGATCCCTCTCGACATCCACGAACGGCGCCACCCGCGCGACGAGCCTCAACAGACGACAGAGCCGAGCAGAGAGGAGCGCGGCTAAGAACATTGCTGATGCCAAGAAGAAGGGATGGATGGGTGGTCGAAGTCGGACCAAGAGCGTCAAGGAGAAGAAGGAGAAAAAGGTAAAAGGGAAAAAGCAGAAGCATGGAGATCATTTGGATGACGACGCGAGGAGTACGTGGACGGATGTTACGTCACATAGCTTTCTGCCAGGTGGTATGAAATTTGAGAGTAGTGAGCAGGCGGCACAGGCAGCCAGGGAGAGGGCAGAGAGAGCGGGAGCGAGGGAGAATAAGAGAGAGAAGGGCAAGGGGAAGGGTAAAGGGAAGGAGAAGGAGGAAGGGGGGGAGAAGGGGGATAAGAAGTGTGTTGTTATGTGATGCGATCACGAAGTGATGGACGTTTGTGTATTTGGAATGATTGGATTGGGTGGAAGTGGGCTTGGTAGTAGAGATGATGTTCGATATAGATTTGGGCGTTTGACCTACACAGAAGTAATTGCACAAGCTAAGTGGTATTTCATGATCACTTAGTTTGTCGACTATATCAAAACTGTCCATCGATTAGAATAACCGATTTAACATGTCTTTGCAATTCCTAACCTTCGGTAACAATGTCATCGTCTATCAAAACATTATTGTTGCCCATCATAACAAGCAATGCTGGTTCTGTATTCCCATAGCTAGCAATACCCATTCGGCCACTGTGCTTCGCCTCTCCGTCTCTCATCACCGCCCGCGTCATCCTAGATCCCCCAAGTCTCTCACTCAACGTCCCAGTCCGCTCCCTCCTTGTCCATTACCCATCCTCCTCTCCAAATCCTTCACCTCCTCATTCCAGCCCTCCTCCTCAGCAGCAACACCCTGTTCCTGCGCGCTGGAGCCGGGGGCGTGTTCGCTTGCTCCTTTTCCTCCTCCTCCTTCTTCTTTGGCATCACTTCCTCCAGCGGTTGACGCATCTGATGTGCCCAAGATTTGCGCTTTGGCTTCTGATGAGAGGGGAACTCCTTGGTTGGTGTTGGTGGTGATGGAAGACGAGGAGGGGGTTTGGCCTTGAGAGGCGAAAGTCGGGTTGGCGGTTGGAGCGAAGGCAGGGGATTGGATTGCGCCGTTGCCTGCTGCGCTGTTTGTTGCCATTCTTTTTTTGGGGGGAGGGGGGAGGCTTTCGAGCGGTTTGAGGGGGGAAGGGGTTGAGAGTGTTTGAACAGATGGGTTTGTGGTTTTGGTGGACGACTGTGTTTGATCTCGAGATGGGGAGTGGTCAGTTCTTGTGTGGTCTGGTAGTGCAGACTCGGTGAGATTGGACTTTTTGTTTCTGTAATTTGATTGATGTCAGGAAGTGATTGGGGAGAAAAGGGTACTCGATTGTTTCGAGGTTGATTGTGTACGGTATATAGGCTTATTATGGTGGTTTGCTGGTGGCCGTCAAGGTACACTATTGTAGGTAGCGCTAATGATGTCACTGGCCAGACCGCGATAAGAGTGGGGGGAGGGTCGATAGGGCTCATGTTAAGTGCACGGGCCAAGCATATCACGGAGCTCACCTTGGACCCCTGTCCCTGCTCACCTCGGTGTAGGTCCGGCCGAACGGCTGACTTTGGGAACCGTGGAGATGAGATGAAGTGAGGTTCATCGCATCAGCTGACCGGAATTCCGACGCTTACCTCATGAAGCTGGGCTTACACGAGATCTAATGGGTCGATAGCATACCGACAACCGAGCTCAGTTTGTTGTCGCCTGGTTTCGCATATCAATATCGGACGTCCAGGTGAGCGAGTCATTGCACACGTTCTCAGCCAACGAACGCCGAAATGCTGTTGAGGCTCGTCCCCAGGGGCAGGGTCGGGTTGTTCCCCGGAATCTCTCCACCGTCATCTCAACGGGCATTCCTTGCTTTGAAGGGATCGACGACAACTTACACACCCAACCTCAAACACCAAGTTCAAGTCCAATACAGCACTTTCCGAGACAACAGAAGAAATGTAGACGGCATCACCGATCCCGAAAAGGCTCTCCCAAGGACAGTCAAATGTCTTTCGGTCGCCATAAACCCCGAGGCCTGGGATGACTTTCTTTCCGGTAGCCCGGGAGAAATATACAAGAAGCGAATGAATGTGAGTACATCGTCATGTCTCTCTGCTCGGAATTAGCAACTCACGCTCCTCGGGAAACAGCCACGAAACCCACGTGTCTTCATCAGCCCCGCTATACGCCATTTCTACCAAAGCATCCTCTCCCATGGACCAGAGGTTCGAGCGGACTGCCTAGTCATTCTCGCTTCCTTGCGTTACTTCCAGGAAGTACAGTGCGCCCATACATTTCTGTTCAACACGGTAAATGAACTCTTCCCGCGCACAGAAGTGGGGCCCTTGAAGGACTCCGAGGTACTCAAAGACAGGTTGAACGTCGTCACTGCCGTAGTAGACAAGATCCCGTTATGGCAAGTGCCCGGCTATGCTCCCAACGCCACCCTGGCTTCAGAAGGGTTCAGTATCATCTGTGGACAGAGCGAACATCTTTTGCCTGGCCTGTGGGACAACTCAGACTTCTCATGGAGCAACATGAGGAACGAAACAGACCCTCTCTTCCTCGAGCGAATGTACCGCCGTCTCAAAGTTGCCCCCAAGGGAAACGCCAATGCTGAGAAGCCGATGCCCTATTCTTCTGGACCACCTCCCGTCCTCGAGTTTCGCATCAATCCCCTGCGCGATGACAATCGGCCTGTACAAGTCGCTCTGCCGCTCGCCAACACCAGCTATGCAACTTCAACCGCAGCCCAACAACGTGGCACGACACCCCACATATTAGAGGTTTCGGCTTGGGCGCGGTCACCGGAGAAGCAGAAGCTGCGTCCCATACACGTCGAGGCAAACAGGCGGACTCATGTCACCATCCAAACGACATCCTTGAAGCAGCCCTGGCCAAGTGAGCTTTGGTTCCAACTCCTGCCCATCACATCTCCACGCAAGATCGTCAGCGGTCTGGGAAACATCCTCAAGCAGGTTGAGATTGACGGCGAGAGCGCCCCGGCTAGCAAGGAGCTCGAGGATGTGATTCCGAAACTGCTTTCCATGAGAGCCAGCAGTCACAGACCACTTAAGCACACGTCAGATAGCCACGCTGTCAAGGTCTGGGCTCTCGTCATCCCGGATGAGGTGTACAAGAAATATGCAAAGTTTCAGCCTCCTGTGGATCTCGCAATGCAGTTGCCACCTCCTTTCGATTTCGAACAGGCCAGTACTGCGGACGAAAAGAGATTAGCTGGAAGGTGTAGTAAGGCTCTTCAGGGCCTGTTGGTAGCCGGATGTCATCTCCGGGAAATCCGTAAGTCGGCCTCCACATTTTCTAGTTTACACACTCTGTTCTCTCATGTACATGTACATACAAATACTTACTAAACGTCCAAACAAACAGTAAGCGGGGGCGGAGGCTGGGGCGCCAAACAAGGTCTCCTCTCTCTTGACCCTCAGGATCGAGACCATTACCGCAAAACCCCCACGAGCAGCAGCAAAGACAGCGAGAACAACGAAGCTGAGGAAGAAGACGACGACGACATGGAAGGCCTCGAGCGTTTTCTCCGCACCCTCCGCGGGGAGCAAAACGTGGGCGACATCGCCTCACCCGGTTCCTGGGTCCAGTTCTTCGTCGCGCCCGCCCACCTCGAGCGGCTGCCTTGGGATGCGTCCAAGGGTGTCGTCAATACTCGCAGGCCGGCAGAAAAGTTGACTTTGGGCCTCACGGACGCGGTCGAAGAGTATACCCCTACATGGGATCCAGACTTCACGGAGAACAAGGACAGCAACAGGTACAAGTACCTCTGGCGGGATCCAAACGGCGTGGAGATTTTTACGTACCAGTTTGGTGCGCTTGCAAACGGGAGCTTGTGGCTCGACTTGAAGAAGCCAAGCGAGTTAACGGCGACGAAGACAGCGACAGCGACGGAAAACAGCACAGCGGGAAACAGCACGACGGAAAACAGCACGAATAATATCAATAACGATGGACAAGAAGAAAAGGATCTGTGGAAAGATTTGGAGACCGATTCGGAGAGAAAGATTACGGTTCCGGAATTCAATCTTCGAGCGGACATTGACAACCCGCTGTACGTGGTGAAGGTGAAAGAACCTGGTGAGGATGAGCAACAGCGACGAGAACAACCGAGGGAGGAAGTAAAGTTGTTTGAAAAGATAAGAAAAATCCCGACGGGGAGGCGAAGACTGGCGATTTAGGCACGAGTAAGAGGTATAAGTAACAGGACTCCTACTGGAGGTGCTAAAATCAGATGCCAATTAGGGTAGACATGGGCTTCTTTAGATAGTCGCAAGACGAGAGCATTACACACAATTGCCTCCAGAATGATGGCCCTTAGAATATCATTACAGTCCCGCGTGATGACAGATGTCGGAATGCAAGTCTGTTGAACAGCAAGACTCAAACTGATATCTCATGTCTAAATCTAAACGCGTTTTTTTTTTTTTTTTTTTTTTTTAAGAGATCCTCCACTTTATTAGTCCTACTCTGTATCATCTCTCATCATCATCATCAATATTCATCCACAGTCCGTACCACATCATTTCTCACACGCCTCCCCTTCCTTCTCTACTGCCCTCCTCTTCCTCCTCCCCTCTAACCCCTCCCCCATTGCCTGACACAAATCCTCCAAATCCAACCCCCTCCTTCTCTTCCCCACCTTCTCCTGCCCCAAAACCGTCTCGTCCGCCACAAACCTAAACACCCCCGCCACATGCTTAAACACATCCTCCTTGTCCTCGTCCCATCCCACTTCCTCGTCGGTAAAAGTCTTGCTAATCTCCTCCATCTCCCTCACCCACCGGTATGCCTTGGGCGGCAACGTGGTAACGTACCGCGTCATGGTGTTCAACCGCGAAGGGGCCAGGCGTTCCAGAGAGGAGAGAAAGGAGGGGAGGATGCGAAGGGAGTGGGCGGTAGAGAGGGAGAGGAGGGAGAGGGCGGCAAACCCCTTGGCGAGGGAGGCGTAGACGTTTTTGAGGGCCGAGGCTTGGCCGATTTCACTGCTGCTGCTGCTGCTGCTGGTAGTCTGCTGCTTTTCGGCACCGGAAGAAGAGTTTGGGTCAGGGTCGGAGAGCATGTGTTCGATGTGCAGAGTCGAAGCAAAGTGGTTGCCGTAGGGGTAGGGAAAGGTGGTCTCGTCAGTGAAGGACCAGGGACCCGAAGTGGGGAGGAGAGGGTAGGACCAGCCGGTGGTAGGGTCATGGAGGATGTCTTCTTGAGGGAAGGAGGCGACGGGTTTGGTTGAGGTTGATGCGGCGGGGATGGGAGCCGCCGGGCCGGTTGACGAAGGGCCTAGGGCGGTGGTGCTGCTGGTCTGCTGTTTCCGAGAGGGAGTGACGCCGAGGATACAGCCGTCTACAAAGCGAACGTCGCGGTCAGGGTCGAGGCCGGCGGTGGTGAACTGGGCGGCAATGGATTTGACGGTGGAAGGCGAGATGGCGTTCATGTCGGCGAAGTAGAGCGGGGTGCACCGAGGGTTGGGCCCGGACGAAACACGCTTGAAAGCGGTGATGATGCGTTCAGCTGTGGCAGCGGCTTGAGCGGGCGGAACGATAGAGAGGATCACGTCGCATTGGGTGATGAGGGCTTCATCTGTGGAGAGCAGCTCAGCGCCGACGGTGATGGCACGGTCAATGGTGTCTTGGCTAGTTATTGACGTTAGTGATGGTTTTTATGATGCGTCCAGACATCTTGAGATCTCACCTTCTTCCCGTGCAGTTTGTAGCAACGGCGTAGCCATTCGCGATGAGAAGGCTGGCAAGAGCGCTGCCCATGTCGCCCATCGAGATGATGCCAATCTTGGCCCGGGGCTCTTGCCCCTGTGCCTCTGTATTTCCGGACATTGCCAAGGTACTACTCTCACAAGGTAAATAATGTATGTGTTGTTGATCCGGAGCAGCAGAGGACTAATATCAGGGTAAGATGCGTGAGTCAATAAAGAGTAAATGTCACGGATGAGGGGTGATTTATAATTGTGGGGTTGATAGACGTTCGGCATGCTACCTATAAATCCATTCCAGACGTTCATACTAGTCAGGGAAGGAAGGCTTCACGATCTTGGTTTAGCGAACGACGTGTAAGTGATCCTCCTCCAGGAAAAAAACTCGGGTCTTCTTATGGGTAGCGTCAGAGCAACTATCACATCAAAAAGTGAAACAAGTATTTCTAGGCTGTCCAAATTATGTGCGCTAGAGAAAGATCGATGTATGCTATGAATACGCACCAAAGGAAAAGAGAGTAGAGAAGACCCGTACCCGTCTAAACAAGGGCTGGATCAAACTCCCGCAAACCCATATCCCAATCTCGAAAGCATCACCACCTCTTGCGCTGCTCAATACCTCAGCCGCCAACCCCTTCTGCTTTTCACTCAATACCCATATCGATGTCATCTTCGGCAGGACCGCTCGCAACAGCCCCATTGGAGGCTTCGGCCGCGGGGGCAGCGTTGTTCTCTTGATTCGCACCACCGCCGCCAAAATAGTCCTCCATCTCCGCATCCAATTCTTCCTGGGTCTTCTTGGGCCGTCCGTTACGAGTGCGCTCACCCTGAGGCTTCTCCCCACCTCTTCCACCACGTCCACCACGTCCACCTTCCCTGCGGGCGCCTGGACGACGACCACTCTCACGACCACCCTCACGGCGAGGAAGTGGGCTGCGCGAGCGACCACGACTGGAACCACCAGGGCGGTATCTATCAATTCCTTTGCGGGCCGCTTCCTCATCCAAGTCACGGTCGCGGCGCGAGGGTGAGATTGAGCGGGAACGGCCACCGGGGACAGTGATACGCTCGGCAAGAGGACGAGGGTTAATAGCAGTTTCAAATGGGTTGCGGCGGGGACCGCTGGGCATGAGAGTGAGGCGGATAGGCTGGCCTGGAATGCTGTTAAATATACTGACATCTACAACTTTGAGATTCACTGTGAACGTACCGGCAGCGTTGGCTCCGTCATACTCGCGAATAGCCCGACTGGCATCCTGAGGAGACTCGTAGGTTACGAACGCAGTTCCTTCCGAGCGACCAGCGCGATCGTACTTCATGTCGAGCTTGACGAGGGGTCCAATTCGCGAGAAGAGTCCCTATGTATGTGGTGAGTATGGTGACCTGTGTATAACATTCCTAGGCTGTAATGATGCTTACTTCGAGGTCCTCTTGGGTCAACTCGTAGTGAATGTTGTCAACGCGGATCTTGGATCCCCTGGCATCGCTGCTCAAATGTCAATACACAAACGTGGTGCGTAGCAGTCATGGCTATGTCCCCTACCTGAAGGGTTCTGGAGAGTTTCTTCTTCTAGGGGCACGGCGGTGGTCTGAGAGACCAGTCAGCTAGGCCTTTCAGGACCCCTTTCGAATGTCTCAGCTAGACCGTACCATTCTCTTCAAACTTGTCGTGAACCCATTCGCTGGACAAACCACGTCAGTACCTTCCTCTCTAATAACGATGCGCCTGTAAACGTACGAGTCGAGGTTTCTTGGTGCATCATCTCTGAAGGACTGTCCCGCCCAACAAGTCGGGAGCTGTTAGCTGGGAATTTCAACCAATATTACGCCAGCTTCCTCCTCGGTCGCGATTCGAGGCATCGAGCACAAGTCGGGTTGAGTGGCTGCGTTCGACATCTGAAGATAACCGGACAGAGAAAGAGCGGAGCGTAAAGTCTAAAGGGGAAGAGGAGAGGATTCAACCTGTGGGGGAGCGGTCGAGGTATCGTCAGCAAAGGTTTCCAATCGCGGTGTAAAGAGAGAAAAAAAACAAAAAAAAAACGAATAGTTGAAATAGATACTTTGAAACAAAAGTTGAAAGGAAAAAAGAAGAGGTCTCCAGGCTCAAGTACGACTGGAGATCAATTCTCCTTGTAAGCAGCGTACCTTTCTAACGCCATCGCGCGGGTAATCATTCCTGTCGCGTCGCTGGCGGTTGGCGGCGCCATTGTCCCGATTGCCTCTACCACGAGAGCCTGAGCCCCGGCCATTCTGCAGCAAAGCATTCCATATCAGTATTCATTCATGAAGGACCCATAGCTCAAGTCAATTGCCAAACATGGAGAAGAGGAAATGGTTATGACATACTGGCTTGCGCTCGGCGAGGATCTCGTCAAGGCTGCGGTCGAGAGAGTTGTCGGCCATTTTGCGTGATGTCGCGACAATAGAATGTACTAATCGGGTTTGCGGACAGGGGCTCGGTGATAAGAGAATAAATATAGGTAGGCGAAGGAGCCGCACCACGAGTCACAAGTATGATGGAGGTTTGAAAGTGGTCGTTAGGCGAAGGGCCGGTGAATGTGACCAACCTGTGACTGGCATAAATCGATGGGACGGCAAAAGGACAGGGACGCGGTTGCAATGAATTGCAGGTTCGAGGTTGGGGTTGGAGCGGAAGAGGCTGCGAGGCGGCGCCGCGGCGAGTCAACGTTGTTTCTTGGCTGTGCTAGCTGGCGCCCGTCGTGACTTAGTGTGGGGAGGGCCGCTACGTACATGTGGAGCTCATTTCAACCTCAAGTTGAAGACGACACTGCATCGACTTCGAACGGCCTTCCAGCATGGTGTTTCCCTCACTCTTCCCCGACCGCTATGCTGAGCCTGGGATTGAAGAGTCGTTCCTAATCCAAGATCCAACTCCAGTTGCAAGTTTGACAGAGGAACAAACACTTGGGGTTTGTGAAAACAGGTACGGCCTAATTTCCATTCACAGTCATGACCAGTCAGTCTATGGAACTAGGAGGCAACGGACGGCAGTGATGTTGCTGTCGCCGTATACCAAGTGAAGACAGTCGTACCGGCATACTCGACTTTTCTTATCATAATATGGGCTCGTTCGACGTTACAAACAACTCATTATACCATTTGCTTCACAAAGGGTAACAAAAACCGGATAGACACCATCTTGGAGACAGCAGTGAAGTTAAAAGAAGTAATTACAAAAGCACCGTTACTGAACCTAACAATCTAACAAGCAGAAGCAGCTGACCTGGCTGCGTCCTCCTGCCTATCCAGCTTTGCCGGGAACAAAAACCGTCATGATCATCAAATGTCATCGCTGCGGCCTTCACAAAGCCCACCAGGCCATCGCCCACTTCACAACACCAGGACCCCAAGTTCAGTCTAAATCGCATTTTGAGAACTTCCCTTGACAACTAGTTACAGGTTGACCAGAGAACCTCAGTACAAAGCAGCCCGTCCCTTTGTCCGTCTTTTTTGAGCACCGAGCACCTCTAAAGTAAATGAGCGTGCGCACGTGCTAGATCCGTACCAGCGCTTTTTGTGGTGTAAGAAAATATTGCCACCAGATGCTGAACCAGCGAAATTCCCGGTAGAAAGAAAAGAGTCCTTAACCTCCTTCTCTATCAAATACCATGTACACGAGGCCGCCTCTTAAATCCTAGGTGGATGCCGATGTGTAAAGGTTGCGGGGTATGCCGAGAATAAGGAAAAGGATATCGTGTATCAATGAGGCTTTTTGCTTTTTTTTGTTTAGATGAGATCAGCGACGTTCATGGGCATCTCCTCAATCTGGGTGCTGTAGAACTGCTCGATCTCGCGCATCATGCGGACATCGTCAGCGGTGACGAAGTTGATCGCAACACCCTTACGACCGAAACGACCACCACGACCGATACGGTGGATGTAGTTCTCGCGGTTGGCGGGGAGATCGTAGTTGATGACGAGGGAAACCTGCTGAACGTCGATACCACGGGCAAGGAGATCGGTGGCGATCAGGACACGAGAAGAACCGGAACGGAACTCCTTCATAATCAAATCACGCTGAGCCTGGTCCATGTCACCGTGCATGGCGGAGACGGTGAAATCACGGGCAGTCAGCTTGTCGGTGAGCCAGTCGACCTTTCTGCGGGTGTTGCAGAAGATGACAGCCTGGGTGATGGTGACGGTCTCGTAGAGATCCGAGAGAGTGTCAAGCTTCCACTCCTCCTTCTCAACGGCAATGTAGAACTGCTTGATACCCTCGAGGGTAAGCTCGTCCTTCTTGACGAGAATGCGGACGGGCTCGCGCATGAACTTGGTGGTAACCTCAAGGACGTCCTGGGGCATGGTGGCGGAGAGAAGGACGACCTGGGTGCTCTGGGGGAGGAGCTGGAAGATGTCGTAGATCTGCTCCGTGAAACCGCGCTGTAGAAAGGAGAAAGGTTAGCATTCTGCATCCGACCTGTTGTGAGCACTGGAAAGTATACATACCGAAAGCATTTCGTCGGCCTCATCAAGGACGAACATCTTCATGCTGTCGGTCTTGAGGAAACGACGCTGGATCATGTCGTGGACACGGCCGGGGGTACCAACAACGACCTGGGGGCCGTCCTGGAGGGCCTTCATGTCATCACGAACGGAGGTACCACCAATGCAGGCGTGGCACTCGATGTTCATAAAGTCACCGATGGCGACAACAACCTTCTGGATCTGCTGGGCAAGCTCGCGGGTGGGGGCGAGGATGAGAGCCTGGCAGGCCTTGAGGCTGGGGTCGATCTTCTGGAGAACGGAGATGGAGAAAGTGGCAGTCTTGCCAGTACCGGACTGAGCCTGAGCAATGACATCGTGGCCTTTGAAGAGTCAGCGGAAGTCACCCATCTTGTCGAGAAGCGGTATTTTCTTACCCTTGATGACGGGCATGATGGCGCGCTGCTGGATAGCAGAGGGGCGCTCGAAACCATAAGCGTAGATACCTAACATCGACCATCAGCATATGAATTTCTATACACCGCTCGGTCGGGGATGGTGTTCTTACCGCGAAGCAACTCGGGCTTCAGGTTCATCTCGTCGAACGAGTCAACGGTCTCATCGTAGTTAGACTCGATCTGTCCTGTAAGGGAGAGAGGATTGTCAGTGACTGCTGAGTTGGGCGGTGACGCCGAAAATGTGGGCGCCGACGAGGGGCAGGTGAGGGGAAGAGGGGCGAGGCACAGCACCGAGGCGACGGCGAACACTTGCGCGACGCCGTCGACCGAGTGTAGCGATGGCCTTTGGTGGTGTTGATGATGATCTGAACGTACCCTCGGGGATATCCTCGAGTCCCTTATCGGTAGCCATGATTGCGGTTGTAGATTCGCAAAGATTTCCGGATCCAAGCCCTGCTTAGATCTGGAAATACTGTTGAGTGTTGGTGGGGTAGGGAAGCAAAGAAATATCCGCAAACGTCACGTTGCAGATATGTTGGAGAGGATATTAAGTTATTGGAAAATCGACAGATTCAAAATCTCCCAGTTGTACTGAGAGAAAAGGATCTGGAAAAAAAGGTCGAGGGATGGGGCTGTTTGTATGTGGGTTTGGAAGTGGGTGGGCAGAAAAGAGGAGAGCCTGTGGTGTAGGCGGACAGATAAAAAATTCAATTTGCTGGCGGACCGAAATTTGTGTGTGCCTCAGGCACTAAAACCTGACTTGTGAATATCGGTGCCCGGCGCCTGCATTGGACGGATGTCAGTCAACTTTTTTTGACGTCCACCCTTCAAACCCAATAACCACGAGCCAATCAGAGAGCTTGCGCACTTTTGTGGTGGGGTCGTCTTGGCACTTGCGCCGCTGCCGCTGCCTTTCTCTCTCTCTTTTTTTTTTTTTTTTTTTTTTTTTTGTTCCTTTCCGGACTGCCACTGCGACAGCGACACTGGAAGCACATGAATACCGTGACGCTATACAGGGGGCCCCGGGTCAAACATTCATAGCTCATGCGCGCGTTGTTGACATTTTGGAGGACTTTTTCCCTCACACGTATCCTTTTTCCGCTTCTCTGTCTGTTCTCGCCATCGATTGACTCCCTTACACTATCAATTAAACTGCCCGACGCCGGGGTTCACCTCGGCCACACCCGGATTTTCTTTTAGGTCTTGCAGCCACCAAGTGGTGTGTCCTTGGTACACGCTCACACCTTCCTCTGCGCAGACTACCTAGCCATTGTCACGATTGGTATTATTCCATTGGACGCTGGCCCGCTTCCATCCTCTTCCACTCAACACGCACGCAGCAACCTCGTGTAGCCCTATTCCGATCCGGCGGTTGGCTGCAACAGTTGGAGGATACCTTGTTACAGGTCAACATCATATGACAGTCAGACAGAACCGGCAACTCCCAGCAATCTTCATACGATGTTTCTCTCAACAGATCAGCACCAAAAGCCTGACGCCCTCATCTTTGAGGCAAATGGTAATGGGGGTCACAGAGTGACTGATGAAGATGATACTTCAACAGCCGTCGAGTCATCTGTTCCCACACACCCTCTTGGGATCAAGCCTCTAGGCAACAAGTACTTCCACACTGGCACCGATGCCCGTGTCAATTTGGGCGATCTGCAAGTCTTGCCCGATGAGATGCTTGCCCAGCTCCTTGAGTATCTGGACAAGCGTACCTTGAGGCTTCTAGGCTATGCCTGCAAATTTCTCTATGCTCAATGTAGCTATGATGACCTCTGGAAAACCATCTTCTTAGAGTAAGTTAGATCATATTTCTGATGCAGATTGCTTTCGTGATCCAACCGCACTTAACCCCCTTCTTTCCTGGGAGTCATCCGACCCCTGACCTTAGAATTGGCCCAACACACGTATTGTCAGTAGTGCAAGCGGCATTTCTTGTCAGATATCCCCTTTCAATAATAAAGGGAATGTGGGCATCTTCCCCAATATTTTATGTGTATTTAGTTGTGTAGGTTGTTGACTTGCTTCAAAACACCTGACATCTTCTGCTTAAGAATGGTGTGAAATCTTCACCGAAACATATCGACTCGATCCATGTTAACCGAGGTGTAGGTCTGAACTCAAGAACAAGACGTCTTTTCAATGGCAGGGCTCTTGGAGGGCAACTGTTCTCGGCCTCTCACCCGACAAGCGTATCAAGATCGACTGCAGCAACGTCTTCTCTGATGTCTTGCATCGTCCGTTTGTCTGCAGTCACATCTCGTTGCCCAAGTACACGAGAAACATCCCGCCAGCCAACAAAATTCCTAGTCTTGACGACCTGACGTACGATGAGTTTGCAGAGAAATGGAGCAAGAAGCCCTTTATTCTGACCAGGTGTATCAAGTCGTGGCCCGTCCTCAAATCCTGGAATATGGATAAACTACATGAGATGTATTCAGATGTGGTTTTCCGAGCCGAGGCGGTAGACTGGTCCTTCGCCACATACCATCAGTACATGATGGACAGCCAGGAAGAAAGTCCCCTTTACTTGTTCGACAAGAAGTTCGTCGAAAAGATGAAGATCGAGGTTGGCAAGACCAAGGATGCCGCTTACTGGAATCCGGACTGCTTCGGAAAGGACCTCTTCGAGCTACTCGGTGCTGAGCGGCCGGCGCATCGCTGGATGATAATCGGGCCTGAGCGGAGCGGCTCTACCTTTCACAAGGACCCGAACGCGACGAGCGCCTGGAATGCGGTCATTCAGGGAGCCAAGTATTGGATCATGTTCCCGCCATCGGCCCAGGTTCCCGGCGTCTATGTCTCCGAAGACCAGAGCGAAGTCACCAGTCCTCTCAGTATTGCCGAGTGGCTCCTCGAATTCCACGCAGAGGCCCGAAGGCTGCCCGAATGCAGAGAGGGCATTTGCCACGCAGGCGAAATCCTCCACGTTCCCAGTGGCTGGTGGCATTTAGTCGTGAACATTGAGCCCGGCATCGCACTCACTCAGAACTTTGTGCCAAAGGCACACCTGTCGGATGTGCTTTCCTTCTTAAAATACAAGGCTGATCAGATTTCGGGGTTCAAGAAAGAGGTCGAGGACCCATACACGCTCTTTGTTGAGCGCTTGCGGGTCGAGTATCCTGAGCTGTTAGAGGAGGCTGTGAAGCAGATGGAGGAAAAACAGGGAAACAAGAAAAGGAGATGGGATCAAGTGGTTGGCCATGACAGCACCGCTGGTGGACCAGAGCACAAGAAGGGCGGTGGTTTTTCCTTTGGTTTTGGCCTTGGCGATGATATTGAGGGGGAGGAGGATGAGATCCCCTAAAAAGGATAGACGGGGATCGAAACGGAAATCTGATGGCTCTTTTTCCACTAGATAGAAGACATCACGTTGCCATGCGTATATATACGTACGCATCTAAACGTACTTGTCAGGTCTTCAAAATCGACCGTCTGACTAGTGGCTCTGAAGACCAGACGAGTAGACCCTTTAGCGAAACATCACAACATATAGTACTGCATTGTCCAGCGATTGGTCGATTTGATCTTCAGGGGCAAGCTAGGATTGATGATTTCCCCCGGACGGATAAACAGTGATGAAACTTGGTGGCAATCCTACAGCCTACCGATATCCGCCCTACGATCGCAGCGATCATCCGCGACGGTCTTGCACGGCGTATACATAAAAGGGGGACGAGCAAGATCAATGATGGCCATGTTCCTCATGCACTTGCAAAGCATGTTGAAGGACACTGGGATCGGGCGAATGTATTAATACGTGTGAAGGTTGTTAAGCATCAGGGCAAGCGTATTCTTCCCATGAGACAACCTGCCCCTGGAGAAGATACATGGGCATTGATTCGTCGACAAAAAGGAATCCAAACAATGCGTCCGTTTTCAAAGGATCTCTGTGGCTTTGTATGGCGATCAAGCTGCCAATGAGCATCCGTAACTAGACGGGAAACTGGCCGTAACCGTAGCCTTGGGATGGGTTATGGCCGCCTTCGAGGCCACCTCATTGCGACCGGGAGGATTCCACTTCCTTCCTCGCCCCCTTGTTGTTTCCCCTTTCATCAAGTCTTGAGTGAAGCGATGGTCGCCCCTGTTTGTCTCAGGCAGAATGGGAGAATATTCTCATGTTGGGGTTTCCGCCAACACAGCATTGAGCGGGCCGTCAGTCAGTGCTGGCATCATTGTATCACTAAAGGAGCTAAGACTGGGGAGCATCCACATACACTCATACGGTAGCTCAGTAGCACAAGGGGGAAAAGGCAACAGGAGGAGGTCCAGAGGCTCTCTCAAGCTAGGCGAGTTGAATTAGGTCTGTGCACGATACGTAGAGGTACCCGGTAAGAAACAGCCCCGCTGTTGGAATGTTTCGGCAACGGGGAGTCTCCACTCAACCCAGTGCGCACCCCGACGGGCAGGCGGCCACGGACAGCCTAGCTCGACCCCACGCGTCCATCGGCAGCTCTTGCTGCGTTCCAGGGCCTCCCCCGGGGGCGACTCCCCGCCGATTTGGCGTGTCGTCCTGGGGCTGGCATCACACACAACGGAAACACCCAACCCGCTGCTGGTTCCAGTGCTGTTAGTGTTGAGTGCTGACCTATGTAGCTGAGCACACCACCAGAGAGGTGCTGCCCAACCGGCGCAGCTTCCCCTGTGCATCCCATCCTCATCCACTCCCCGTCATCCACACCTGCCTGGGCTCGATGCGTCTCGTTGTTTAGGTTCCTCGTTCCAACACGCAGTCTCGACTTCAGTCCAGGTTCTCTCTCATCCACGCAGTTTGTTGCGCCCTTGAGGTTCCTGCTTCCCATCGCAGTCTCCCACTCGCTCGGGCAGATCAGTCCGATCACTGCATGTACTAGGTAGGTACCCTACTCACCGTCAGCCAACACGTACCTCTACGGTACTCGAGCATATGTACCTTACCTACCTACCTACCACTCCCTTCTCTTGCTCACCACATCGCTTCTTTCCTCCACCTCTACCACTTAATTATTCGCGACTGCATCACCAGTTTGTTCTCTCTTCAAGGATTGGATCCTACCAACTGTTTCCCATCTGAATACTGGAAGCTGTACCCCCGACATTTTGTCCCTCTAGGACCGACCTATGAGCCAAGATACCTAGGCTGTCAAGGTTCCCGCCCCTGCATCCTACCTATACTCGTACTCAGCCAGCCCGTGTGTCGTCTGTCACACCGATTCCGGCCTCTCACAACATCGCACAATACGCTGCCCAACTTCCACGTGCTTCTTCCATTTTATCTTTACACCACACGCTCGTCCACCGCGCTTAAGCTTTTCCCGTTCACTACTCACCGTTTCGCGAAGAGCCGGCACTCCGATATCTATATAACTTCAACCACAAGCAAGGTCCCCTGTGATCCCTCCGCTGTCCGGACGAGGCGGTGACAACATGCTACTAGAGGTAATCGGCCCTCACTCTCGCTGCCGTGATACCGCCCGATTCTCGATCACTACCGTTTGCTTGGTTCCTTGATGAACCATCCATTGGCCTCTTGCAACCGACTTCGAAACCCCCGATTTGCGATTATCCCTATATCGTTACTCGACAGAGATTCTCGATCTCGACTCTTTCACACTCGATTCGCCGGTGCCCGACATACCCAGCCCGCCCTTGCGTCCGAGGCTGACGCTGCCGGCATCCGTCTCATCTGGTCGAATCATATAATACAACAGCCGCCGACTGTCCCAAAGCACCTGGTGGCCTTTGCACTACCCGAGCGCATCGTCACTCAACGGCGGAGCTTCTACAGGAGACACCAACACCCAACAAAACACATACAATAATACCCTTTGCGCCCAACATGGTGTCCGACGAGACATACGACATTTGTCTTCCGGTCCTCGAGGATCCAGAGCTTGACGATGAGGAGAAGACGGACAAGCTGCAGGACCTTCTCAGGGAAAGGACAACCTTGAGCGGGCAGGCACTTGATAATGCAGTGTTAGATGCCATGTGGAGGTTTCGAGATGGCGGCGGGACGGCGACATCTCCACCGTCCATACGTCAGAGCATTCTCCGACGCCCGTCGCCGGCTCCCTGGAGAGGCTCTAGTACTCCTCTTTCTAGCTCGCCTCGCTTGAGCGTCAGTCCGCTTGCCCCTCCCGGATATGTGCCGACAAACTTCGGTCGGGCCATGTCTTCGACGGCATCTCCCTTTGGTTCGCCTAGGCCATCCCCGCGACTTGCGTTTGCTACACCCGTCCCCCACAGTCCTAACCTGAACGCCTATCAGTTTGCCGCCAATGATGAACCTCCCTCACAGGAAGTGTTCGGAGATTACCAGTCGGACAATGTCGACTGGCTCGTCAGTGACGATGACCGTCTCAGTGTGACCTCTTCTATCGGCGGCTCGAGTGGCTTGAATGTGGCTGCTCCCGAATTCGTATCGACTCAGCAGGCCGATATGAGTCCGTTTGACATGCTTAGGTCCATCTTGGGCACGAGTAAGACGGACGACGAAATTGGCGCTGCTCTTGCTATGCATGGCTATGACCTCAGTGCCACCGTTGCCTCTATCATGGACGACCCGGCACAAGATGATGTCTCCCTTTCTGGCCAAAATGATGAGGCCAGGGTGGTTGTGATTGGCAAGTCAATGACGCCTGATCAACGCCCCGCGACTCCAGCCGACCAGCAGAGATCGGGTGTGATTTGCAAGTTCTACTTGTCCACAGGGCAATGCCTGCGCTCTGATTGCCGGTTTAGTCACGATTTAAGCAATCATATCTGCAAGTAAGTCATGTCTTGTCTTGAAAACACGGAACCTGAGACTGACGACTGTAGGTATTGGGTTGCTGGTAACTGTTTGGCTCGTGATACCTGCGTATTTTCTCATGATCCGGCGCATCTGGTGAACAAGCTGCATATTGACGGCTCGGGCACACCACCGACGCACTATTCGACGGTAAACGTTCAGGACTTTAATAGTTTCCCGTCCTTGCAGCCGGGAACTCCTGAGCAGTTGCACGTTTTCCCGGCATCAGCAAACACTCCCGCAGTAGGGATCACTCCGCCACCGGGCTTTAAGGGCCACCACAACTACGGCTATCCCGATCGTCCACGATCGCGGCCTGGTAGTCGACACCAGCAAAAGGAAGTTCCGCAAACGGTTCCGTCTCCTGACGATGCAGATGCATTTCCTACGCTAGGCGCCGCCATAGCCAAGCAAAGCAAGAAGCACCATGGTAAGAGGGGCGGACATGGCCACACTGGTAGTGGCAGCAGCAGCAGCAAGGAAATCGCTAGTCCAGGCCCGAGCACACTCGCCGACATTGTCAAGATGTCTCCCTCTCCTGTCAATATCAACTTGAGGCCCAATGGTAAGTTGAATCGCAATGGCAGCTCTACTAGCATTCGGAATGGCGAGAACAGCGCTGCTGCCCAAGCTATTCCACCGCCCAAGCACATTCCTTGGCTTGAGACTGGAGAGAAGGCAAACAAGGCGTATCTCAAGGCACGCCAGGAGGCCATTAAGCACGGCGGCTTGCGCAACAAATTCCTGCAGAGGTACGTTCCCACAAAGCCGCAGAGGTGACAAATACTGACCATGGTTTCTAGTGCTGCCCAGGCGTGGAACCGCAACGATGCCCGTGCGGCCAAGGCGCTGAGCTTGCGCGGGCAAAGCGAAAATGATCTGATGAGGAAAGCTCACCGCGAAGCCGCGTCACTGCTCTATGAGGAGCGCAACAAAAACAATGGCAGCTGCCCCGAGATCTACGTCGACTTGCACGGCCTTCACCCCGAAGAGGCAGTTGAATACCTTGCAGGTATTCTGACGGAGAACACGAGCGAAAGCAGACCTATCTATGCCATTACTGGTACCGGCCATCACAGCAAGAACGGCAAGGACAAGGTGGGCAAGGCGTTGCGCACTTTCCTTAACGAGTGGCGCTATGCCTACCGTGAATTTTCGGTGCCGGGCGACAGAAATAGCATGGGCGGGATTTTGGGTATAGATGCGAGAAGTTGGGATAAATCGTTGTCGCAGGATGGTGTCAGCTTGGTGAAGAAGGACGAGCCCAAGGATGATGTTGATATCCTCTCTCAAGGGGTGGAGATTGGGGAGGGCAAGGTGAAGTTGCTTGTTAGGGACCCGATGGCTGCCAAGGAGCCGCCCAAGGGCCCTGCTAGCCATAGGGGACGGTGACTGTGGGTAGAATAAGAGCAGGATGAGACTTTGGAGTGCAATGAGTCCAATTAGTCGGACCTGAAAGGTAGCCTGCAGTGATGATATCGCGAAGACGGAAGTAACAAGCCTGGCTGGTTGATAGCGGTAGATCATTAGTGACGGGAAAGGGAAGAGAGAAGTATCGACTATCAATAATCATTGGGCTATTACAGCGACGTGCAGCTATGTAGCATCGACCTTACACATATGTGGTGACGGTTCCTGCAACGTCCCAAATGGGAGTCCTTGCGAACATCATAGCTACAGTACACTCTTTCCAAGCCCGAGGAAGTGTTTCCCCCGATTTCCCCACGT